AGGTACGCAGAATGCTATTTGAGAAAGCCGTTAACTACTACCTAAGTCTATTTGGATCTGGCCCTTCCGAATTAATAAAAAAAAACCCACCTTGGTAATTTATTTTTCTTACGAATAATGTTTGCTTATACACTTCCACCTAGAATCTACAGTGAATCACAGTGAACAGGGAAATAGATCATTTGGTAGAAAATGAGTCTGTTGACATTTTCACCTCATTCAAATATAAAATTACCATCAAGATGAATCAAGAGACCAATCCTTAAATCATAATCCTTCTTTAATACAGTTAACCAAAACAGAATAAGAGGTAACATGGGCAAATAAAAATAACGCAGCATGCTACCAAAAACCATGATTAAAATATTAATTTACAAACCTGGGCAGGCATCGCCCTTCTTTCTTCTATCCCCGGTTTCCTTTTCTGCCTCTCAATCCGTTGCCTGGGTACAGGCGGATCAGCACTGAAAGATCCTAACCTACTCCGAACAGAAAGATAGCTTTTACAGTATGTGCTAGAAAAGTTGTTCAATGGTTTTTCTGAGTAAAAGTGGATTTAATTACAAGGAACTCAGCAGCAGGTTTCCAAGTTATATACCAAGTTTCTTACAAACTGCTACTCAGTAAATGCTCTGTAAGCAGAGATTCAAAATGCAAAAACATTTCTCAAAAGGATGTTAAATTATGTAATTCCATGTTGTTCCTGTTAAATCAAAGTCAAAAAACTGCTCAGAAATATAAAAGAATTTTACAAATTAAAGCCGATATCTTCTGGCTCCTCTTTTTGTTGTTACCTTTCCTTTCTCTTCTCTCCCTTTTTTTTCTTTTATTTCACCCTTCTTTTTCTAGAAATATTGCCACCTATTTTGCATATTCTTCCTTTTTGATCTCCTATTTAATTACAATAATACATTTTTATAATTCCATATTTTGAAACAAAAAACATTCAAAATAGGACACAATATATCCAGTGGACGGAGGATGTAGAACTTTTCCTTTCACAAGGTTAAATTTGGGCCAGCTCAGTAGGTAACAAAGCATGCAAAATTTTTGCTCCATCCTCCCAGATTTAGATATTTACAAAATAACAGCATTAAGGAACCACAGCTGGAGCCAGGAATATGTAGTTCTTTTCTTAAAATGAGGACTAACACAAGTACAGCTGTCTTTATATATACATTTCAGTGTGTGTGCATACATATGTGCTGTCAACATTCACATCATAAATACTTCAAGTTACTTAAAATCTCAAAACTAGAGAGGAATCCAAATCAGACTTTTACTCACTCAACTATCCTTGAGCATTTTTTACATATTTGAACAACACTATGTCCAATATTTAGGGCCTTACATTTTAAAAATATAAACATTAATCTGAGATAATGGGGGCACACAAAGTATGTTATCTTTCATAACATACTAATAATAATTTATTATTATCCAATGTAATCGTCAGACCATATAGTAAAAATGGTTAAATTAAACATGTCATCAGACCTGAAATGATACTGGTTAGGAAAAAAGATGCATTAGCAGGGACAGGATGACTACATAGATCTTCTCTTTTTAAGATTTGATTAAATTAGGCCCAGCTTACCCTATGGCAGTTCCTACATGAAGTTAAAGTTTGGGGTCTGCACCTGAAACAGGTAACCATAGGTCATTTGACAAATGCCAGAAGACAGCACCTCCAGAAGATGGGATGACTGTTCACAGAGAGAAAACATCAGGAAGGCTCATCCACAATAGAGCTAGGAAATTGGCAGCAAAGGGAAGCTTGCCAATATTCAGGTTGTTTCCTCTGAAGGAGCTGGGAAAAGGAGAAGGTCTTCAGAAGCAATCCAGCTACAGAATGCTAGAATGGACTACACTGGACTCAGGAAGACATATTAAGGCAGACCAACAGAAAGAGGTAAAGAGGCCAATGAGTGGAGCTCATAAAATTCACAACCTCAAGTGGCCAGGCAAGGCCTTAGGAAGAAAAGCTGGCTCCTGTACTACATGTTTGGCTGCATCTGCCCAAATGAAGAAACTGTCACCTGGCATTCCAGCAGAGGAATATAAACACTGTTTATTTTATGTCAAATGCTTAATAAACCAGATACAAATGAATGGGGGTGGGCATCATATAATACTTCAGTGCATGGGATGCGTGTGAGGAGAGCAAGCTGCACTGCCATGCTAGAAAAAAAGCCTGCTCTGAACTTCAATCTTCAAATGAGACTCCTGCATTCATCCCTATACTCCAATACAATGCACTACATAAGGCTGATGAGCTAGCTCTCAAAGGAATTTATCCTTAATATGAGACCATGTGTTGCATCAAAATATACATGAAGATTTTCCTTGAGTAGGCTTACATGAAATGAAAAGAAGGAGCTCTTCTGAAGTATGTTTCTGCTTCTGCTCCCAGTTTATGCCAGGCATCATTAGGTAAATATCCACCAGCACTACCTTCATCATCACTGTCATTATCTTCTATACGATTCAGGCCCATAAACGTTAGCTAAAAAAGACAACAAAAGCTACTGAATCTTTAAGTTTCACTTACAGCAATATCAATGGACATTCATTCTTAAGATTGAGCATCTGTCATGACCATCCTGCTTGATCAATGCTGAGTTTTAGAATAGCGCACAAAAGAAATCTCTTTGTTTTCTTATAATTAGAGTAACAAGTGAAAATGGATAGGTAGATTCATGAGTCACTGAACTACAGAATCATACCATGTAAAACGTTACTAAAACAAAAAGCATTTAGATATTTCTATCTAAATTAACCTAACGAAAAAATCAAACACAAACTAAACTAGTCTCCTTTTAGAGGTGGCAACAGAAGAAAATCCTACATTCATCATTCCAACACTTTTATATATAATTATTTGCTGCAGTTGTGGTTCAGTGGTAGAATCCTTGTCTGCCACGCAAGAAACCTGGTCCAATTCCCAGATGCACGTAGAACTACGGCCACTGAATCACCAAACGTGAAGACTCAGTCTGGCCTCTGGATTCTGTCTCACTGGTCTAAAGGGGTGGATGGAATGTTTGGGCACTCTATTCCTCTGTACGCCTGCCTGAATACGCTTCTGTTGAAGGTCCCAGTGACCTGTCACCCATACACCATGATCCAAAAGGATCAATGGTTGCCAACTTTGTTTGCATACAATTTTTTTTTAATATCTTCACATGCCTATACATTAAATGGCAGTCCAAATGACAAAGAGTATATGATAAATTGGAAAAAAGAGACGCACACCAAGTAGCACCTATTCCTTTCTATCTAGCAAGAGGACACTTCACTAAAAGCCAGTCATTTAAGCACTCCTGAAAAAAAATCTCATTTAGGAAAACAGGATTGGGAAAAAAAAAATGATTTTCTCATAAATTAGCATTTGATGCAGTAAAATCATGACCCTATAATGAAGTCCAACTAAGTCCCCCATTTGGAGGCTACATTTGTAAAGTTACATGTTCACTCATTAAACCTATAAATACATAATGTAAAGTGAAAGACAATTACTATGTCTTTTTCAGAAATTTATGAGAAAAATGTATCCTGCTTGAAGGAAAGTTGAGTCAAGAAATTAATAAACATTAAGTTTCATTGGAAAAGTAGAATTTGATCTGAAATCAGTAAAGCTTTTTTCTTTTATACCTCTATTACAAATAGAACAGTCCCTGCTACATTTTGACAAGTTAGCAGCTTTGAACTTACCAAGTCTTCAGCAAAAGCTGGCGAATCAAACGCTGTCATATCAGAGTGCAGCTCATTTGCTTTCTCCTTTCCTAAGTTTGATGCCAAAACCAGAAACTGAGCATCCAGTGCAGCCTCCCTTGCCCGGGAAACTGTTATGGAAGAAGACAACAAATGTGCGTTAGCGGTATGTGATTACATAGATGTAAAAGTGCACACTACCCATAAAATCAACTTAAGCATGCTTTGAATGTAATGCTTAGTAGATTCAGTTGCACAACTCATACATTTCAGATAATTCACTGATTTAATTAATTTGACAATTCAGCAAAAAGTAACATCCTCTAGTAACAGAAAGCTTGCAAAATTGGAAGTCATATGTAATGCAAAGTTGAATTTTCTTCCTCTACATTTTTGCTCCCTAAAAATATATCTTGAAACTTTATTCAATGGCCTTTTGTCATTACATTATTTTCACTCATGCTGCATTGCAGAACCTAAATAAAGAAATAAGGGACATTTATTAAACTGAATCATCTTTTGCAAGTATAAAATTAAAATTCCAATCTATCCCATTCAGATGGTTCCATTTTCAGTACAATTTATTCAAGAGTTGTAGGTTTTGTGATGCAGAGTATTGGGCCTCAATTTGATACCCATACCATATTTTCATTCCATATATCATCTCCATCGTTTTGATGGTCAAGCAAAAATTTCTAGAAACAGCTATAGGTAAAGTCTCACCTCCGCTGAACAATATATTGGCTTCCTCCAGAGCTTCTGTCAATTTATTGCTTTTTGAATTCAGCATATCTTCATGATTTTCTGGGGGAGAAATTAGTCAGATCTTTACTTACTACATAGAACATTGGCACCAAAAGAAGATACTTAAGTAATCATTTATGTGGATCTTGTTCTTATGAACATTTGTACACGTGCTTAAAATTAAGTGTGCATCCCACTGATTTATAGGGCACTCCTCAGACTCAAAGTATGCAAAGGGGTATTTGTGGATCAAAACTGTAGCACCTATAACCAATACATTTCATATTATGCACACTATTACTGTAAAATGAACTTTCCTGAAAAGCTCCAATTGATAAAATGGGACACACGGGTGAGTAAAAAACTACATCTTTCCCCACAAGCCCTAATAAGACAACATAACCACTCTATTTCCTGCATTTGGAACACTAAAAAAAGACCTCCCAATTTACTAGATCTTTGAATAGACCTGCACCAAGTAGTTACACACAATTTACTGGTGACTCTAAAATTTTTAACAAGGATTATATCGGGGGATTAACTGGATTTTGTGAATTTCAGGCAAGACCAATGATGCATACTATTTCATCTATTAAACATTTCCATAAAAACATGCATGGCTGTTGATTTCTGAAGATTACCATGTTAAGATAAGCACAGCTTGTCAAATGAACAAAGACACACGAGGAGTACCTGCATACCTGATTCAAAGTGTCAAACGATTTGAGGTCATAACTAAATCAGGGGTGCACTGTTAAAGATCTTTTTGGCCAATACCAATGGCTGATTATTAACCAGCCGTGTCAGCTGTCCCAATCCCATAGCCGATATGCAGCCTGGCACCATGGAGAGCAACTCCCTGCTGGTACTGTGGGGGAGAAGGGCCGTGGGGGGGGGATTGAGGCCCCCTGCTGCTGTGTACACCCCGGGGGGAGGCACAGAGGGCATGTGACCCCCCAGATTTGTGTGTGGGGCAAGGGCAGACTGCCCGCTGTGGGCTTGGGGGGCTATGCCAGCCTCTTCCCAGTGGGGGGATTAGGCTGAGGGTGGGGTGGGGCAGGTGCTGGGAGGGGGAACTACAGCAAACTTTGGGGTGGCTGTAGCCCACCCCTCCCAGGGCCACGCCTGCCCACCCTGAGCACAGCCCTGGCCCATCCCCACCACCAGGAAGAGACTGGAGCAGCCCTTGGCCTCGAGCCCGCAGCAAGCAGCCCGCCCTCGCCCCACACACATCCAGGGGGCACACATCCCCCATGCCTGCCCGTCCCACTCCCTTCCTCACTGTGGAAGCCTCAATTTGCACCCCCCCCATCACACCCCTTCCCTCCCCCACACTCATTTCCCCCCACAGACTTACCAGCCAGATGCTGCTCTCCAAGCTGCTGGGCTGCATTCCTGGCCACATGTATGATGCAGCTGCGCACATGCACATGGCATTTATGGGGGACATTATCAGCTACACTGGCCAAAATAAGCCAATTACATTAATTTTCCTTTTATTGATGCCAATCTGATACATGACTGATATATCGGTGATGCACCTCTACTTTAAATTCTTGATATGGTTCCAGACACCATCATCTTTTTGGCAACTGGCTCAGTTACTCCAAAAATGTTGTGATCCTCTCCAAAATTGCTAAGTACAGCAAGAATCACAATGAGGCCCTTTAAAAGAAATGGGGAAGTTGCCACTGGGGGGGACATCAACTGAGTCTGGGGGACAACTAAAGGGAAAACAGGGATGGGAGTTATCACAAGTTTAAAATAAGTGCTCAAAGGACGGACACAGAGCAGAGCACAACGGACAGTGCCCACTTGCCCTCAAAAGAGTTCAACAAGACAGTGGATACTGCCCAGTGAATCTATGAACAGAGTTCCCCAAGGGACCTTCCTGGTCAGGTATATCCTGGGACTTGGTGGAGCCAAGTCAGATAGGGAGTACATAAACAAAAAAGGTGCGGGGAAGTAGGAAAGCCAGAGCCTCAGCATCAAGCTCTGGAGGAGGTGGTAGAGGGGCTGCAGCCTGGTGCACTCCAGACAGATGTGCACCGTGGTGTCTCTCTGCTCACACAAGGGTCAGGCATCACGAGCGTTTGTGAAGTGTACCAGATATATGCCTGTGGCAACGGCTCCATGGAGGAGCTGCCAGCTGAGGTCTCCGATGGCGCATGGGATCAGGATAGAGCATGGGCTCGTACACCGAGGAATGCGTGACACAGGGGACTGGGCCAGATGGATGCACTGCAGGGATGGACAAAATATAGCCCGCAGGCCACATCCAGCCCACCAGCTGATTCTATCCAGCCCACAGGTGGACAGTGGCTCCAGCTCTGGCTTCTGCTGGCACTACAGAGGACGTAAATCAAATCCCACCTGCCCAGCACCACACAGCAAGCTGCATCTGGGCATGCTGCACTTGGGAACCAGCAGCTCCAGCTCTGGCTTCCGCTGGTGCTGTGAGGGACACTGAGCAGAAGCAGTCCTGCCCACCCACCCAGCTCCACAAGGTAGGCCCTGGGTGAGCTGCGCTTGGGCCCTGAGCATCCCTGCTCAGGCTGTGCCAACAGCACCCTGCCTACCTACAGCTTGAAACTGGAAGAAGCTGCATCAGTTGCTAGGATCAGGGTTTGAAATACACGGAGGCTCAAGAAGGCTGAGCTCCCCCATAAGAGATGAGGGCCCCTGGCCTGCCCCACACCTTTCTAAGCAGCTTCGGTGGTGGCGATTCCTTCTAGCTGCCACTGCTGCAGACCCCCCCATCAAGAGTCGGAGTTTAATTTGAGCCCCTAAGACCATGCAGTGGGCACTCTGAACCCATACCCAGAGGTGATGGAGTTTCCCTGGCGCCTCCCAGCAGGTGAGGCACTAATCATGATTCCTTACCCCATGGAGCAGCCTGAGCCGAGCCAGCCCCGCCACGTGCTGCCTCCCAGTGGCAGCCAGCACAGCTCCCATCCCACCCCATCCAATTCCAATCCACCGAGGTGAGGCTGCCCACAGCGCCTTGGGTCTGAGGCTTCTCTTGGAGGAAGGTTGGTGCAGACAACATGGCTGTGGAGGAAAGCTGGGGCAGGCTGGAGGGGACTGCTGGGTTTCCAAGGCTTTGCAGGAGCAAGCATGGATGGGAAGGGGTGGGGGCAGGTGGCTCTTAAGGGGCATGTCGGGGTACACAGGCTGGGGCAGGAGTTCCCCTGAGATTTGGGAGGTGCTGGGCAGCGGCAGGGCTCTGCTGGGGCGGCGGCGCATGTCCTGCTGCCTGGGGACAGAGACTTTATGTGGAGTTGTTACACAACAGCCCCTCCACACCCCTCAGCACAAAAATGCCTTTTTGAAGTAAAAGTAAAAACCATTATAGCAGGTGTTTGATTCCTAACCTTCTAGCCTTTTCTCTCTCTCATTTGTTCAAGTGACACCTTCACCACTGGCTTCCTGCGTGTGGCCCTCAGCAGCGCACGGGCCTCCTTAGCACCAAACAGCAGCGCTCACCTTCTGTCACATCACACCAGCCCCCTCCCGGGCCAGTGCTGCCTGGTGTATGATAGCCATCCCAGAGGGATGTACGATAAATACACACGCATAAACATATATGTGTCTGTTTGTGTACACGTGTGTGTGTATTCTCCGTCTGAAGGCAAGCAGCCATACGAAAGGGCTCGCTGCAAACCCCAAAGTGGGTCCAGGCTCCCCGAGAGCGACTCGGGTTCTGCATCGATTCGCCGCCTCCACCGTCATCATGCGTTTTGAGCGCTTTGCATATTATTGGCCACGCATCACACAAGGGTTGAGATTATTATACAAACACAGTCGTTGTATTGTTTTGTACGATAGATCGCTTTTCGTACAATAATCACATACAATAATCTCAACCCTCTGTGCTGTGTATACAATAATCATGTACAATAATCACGTACCATCAAACAAAACAATACAACGACTGCACTCGTACAATAATCTCAACCCTTGTGTGATGCGTGGCCAATAATATGCAAAGCGCTCAAAACGCATGATGACGGTGGAGGCGGCGAATCGATGCAGAACCCGAGTCGCTCTCGGGGAGCCTGGACCCACTTTGGGGTTTGCTGTGAGCCCTTTCGTATGGCCGCTGGCCTTCAAACGGAGAATTGTATGTGTATTATACACACACGTACGTAATATACACACGTGTATTATACACACACGTACATGTATTTCACACACATGCGTATACATGTGTATTACACACGTATACGTGTATTATATACATATGCATTATATACGTGTGTAATACACACATATACGTAATACACACACGTATACGTGTGTGCATTATACACGCACACGTATACGTGTGTGCATTATACACGTATGTATTATATACGTGTGTGCATTACACACACGTATGTGTGCGCATTATACACACACGTATATGTGTACACACATATACGTGTGTGTATATATATATTATGCACGTGTGTGTATAATGCACACACGTATATAATACATACGTGTATAATGCACACACGTATACGTGTGTGCATTATACACACACGTGCATAATATATATATACACACACACATATATGTGTGTGCATTATACACACACGTATATGTGTGTGCATTATACACACACACACACACACACACACACACGTATATGTGTGTACACATAGACACGCATCTATTTTTTTGTTTTATAAACGGAGAAATCCTTCGATTTCGACAGCTCAGGCCTGACTTGCTACAGCGAGTGACACCGTCTCATGTAAAGACGACTAATTTACACTTATTTGCATTTTTTTCCCGGCCACGACCGTTTCCTAGCAACCGCCATCCCGGGCGCGGCCCACGCGGTCTCTTCCCAGGAGGCCCCGGCCCGGCCCCGCTCACGCTGCACGGTGTTGATGAGCTCGCGGTACTGATGCCGGATGAGCCGACGTTTGCGGTCATCGCCGTCGGAGTCCTCCACCCGCTGCTGCTCGGCCTCCTCGCCGCCGCCGCCGTTGTGGGACGTGGAGGGCAGCACGGGGCGGCCGCGGCCAGAGCCGGAGCCCCCGGCGCGGCCCATGCCTGCCTCCCCGCTCCCTGCCGCCTCCGCCATGGCCCTGCCCCTCCCCCGCCGGGGCGTCTCCCGGGCAACCACATCGTCCCCGCCGTCAAGCGCCTCCCGACGGCAACCGACGAGGGCCGAAGCGCGGAGCGCAGCGCGCCCCCTACCGGCCGGAGGCTGGGTGCAGCACGACGTGGGTCCCTGTGCCCCTTCCCCGTGCGTGTAACCCGCCCCAGGCAGCAGGGCAGCCGCGCTGCAGCGAGAGCCTGGATTTCTTCCCGGTCTCCATCCTGCCTCTAAAGAAAGAGCCGCTTGGAGGGGTGCCAGCCCTGCAGGATGGCCCTGGAGGCTCCAGCAATTGGATATCAATCTCCAGGAGACTCCTGAGTCACCCGGGAGATGCATGGTAGAGCATTCATTAAATGTTGAATCCGATTTATTAGGGTAACCATATGTCCAGGATCAAAAAAGAAGACACTTGTGGGGGGAGGGGTATATAATGGGGGCAGCGCTTACGTGGGATACATGGCTGGCTCAGGGGGTGCACATGGACCTTACGTGTCACCAAGTGGTATTAGTATGCCTGTCCGTGCCTCAGCCACTCACTCCTAAGCCCCTGCCGGTGCCCCTCACTCCCAACCCACAGCCCCCTGCCCCCCGCCCCCCCAGCACTGGTGGTGCCCCTTACTACCAACCCAGAGACGCCGTCCCACCAGCCCTGCTGCCCATGCGGCTCCTGCGCACACGCACGCTTGCCAGGCCCGCATGCAGAGCTCGTGACCTCTGACAGCCAATCGCCTTGCCCGCTGCTTGCAGCCCCAAGCATCCAAGCTGCTTCTGCCCAGGAAAAGCAGAGGCAAAGCAAAAACCCAGACATTTGCTTGCATTTTAAAAACCCGCCCAGACACTAGGACAGCCCTGCTGCCCATGCGGCTCCTGCGCACACGCACGCTTGCCAGGCCCGCATGCAGAGCTCGTGACCTCTGACAGCCAATCGCCTTGCCCGCTGCTTGCAGCCCCAAGCATCCAAGCTGCTTCTGCCCAGGAAAAGCAGAGGCAAAGCAAAAACCCAGACATTTGCTTGCATTTTAAAAACCCGCCCAGACACTAGGACAGGGGGCCAAAAAAGAGGATGTGTCTGGGAAAACCAGGATGTATAGTAACCCTCATCAGGAGACAGCAGGTTTCCTTCCTCGCTCTGGTAGCCCAACATGCCTCACATGGAAGGACGATGGAGAATGCCAGTGCAGACGTTACCACTCCCCCATCTTCTCCCATCCTGCGAGCCCTAGGTCAGGCAGGCCCATTCTTGCTAGAGGCCTGAGAATGCATATGGGGGGTTTCAGTGGAGCCCGTCCTGGCCTGGGGAAAGATGGGAAACACTTCTAAAGCTAGAGGTGCAGGAGGAACAGCGGAGAGCAGAACTAGACTCACTGGAATAGGCCTCAGCAGCCCCCAGGCTGTGGCTTACACTAGAACATCATTGTGGAGAAGCTCTGCCCTCAGGCAAGCAGTGCAAGCTCCTGGTGAGAGCAGGCATCAGAGTTTCCTGTTCTGCCCAAATGGCAGTCAGCAGCCTGGAAACTGTCCCCACTTAATTGGGGAGGGGGTAGTTCAAAAAGCAAGAACTTAAAGAAATCATGGCTGCCTATACAAGTGCTTGGAGGTAGGGGAGGCGGAGCATTTTAACTAAAGCAGTTCCCGGGCAGCCGTTCTAATTAAAATGCTTCACCATCATGTGTATTAAGCCCCCACATGTTTAAAAATGGCTATGGGACGTTTAGGTAAACTTCATGCTATAAGGTTTAGTTAAAGCACCCTATGGCCGTTTAAAAATGCGCAGGGACTTAATACACGTGATGCTGTGGCGGTGCTGCAGCATACTAATTAGAACATGGAACAGACTCAATTAATCGTGTCCGCTCCAATGCATTCTAATTAGAATGCCAATGAACACGTGTATAGGCAGCCCATATTAAAGAAATCTTCATTTTCGGGGGACCAGCCCTAAGTTGGAGACTCTTCCCCTGAATCTTTGGATTTTGGGGGTAGGCAGCAGTGACCTTGGCAGTACCCCCTCCCCCAGCACCAGTGTAATTCCAGCCCTTCAGGGAAAAGCAGCAGGAGGCTTGACAGAAAAGCGGCACAAATTAGAGATGGGTCAGACATGATTCAGGCCCTCATAGGAGTGAGTCTGAAGACTCCCCTGGTGGCCCTGAGCTTTCAAGGGGGTGCAGGGGCAAGGGTGTCTGCTGACTCTTGAGTCGGGGGGGGCACATGCCCCCCCCCACCCCGACACCAGTCAGCAAAGGTGCCTCTTGAGTAGCGACTGGGGGGGGGGCTCCCCGGCAGTCAATCCCACTGACCGGGAGGGACGCAGGGGGGTCACCCATGGCCAATCTTACTCTCCATAAAAGCATCTGCGCTGCTTCCAGAACTTCCGCAGCCACTTTTGCTGGCACCCCCGTCCAGGGCTCACGGGGGGGCACTGGTGCTCCTGCCTGCCTCCCTGCCCCCCCGGTTATACAAGGAGCATGGCCTGTACAAGGAGCATGCCTACCGGCTATACAAGGAGCATGGCTCTCAGGGGTTGCACCCCCTATGCATCGCCCCTGGGCAGGGGTCAGGGATACTACCATTTCCTTCACCTCTCCCTGCTGCCAGGCCAGGACAGACTGGGCCTCAGTCCTGGGTGTTTGCTCCCCTCAGGCAGCTGTGCCATGCTGCAGTTGTGCTTAGAGGGCTTGGATTAAACCCCAGTCGCCGCAGCTAAAGACTGAGAAAATTATTCCCTCTCCTGGTGCTGAGAATGATGGGTCACCACCTGTGATTCCAGGGGCCTTCCGATTACCCTGTGATTCCAGGTGGAGAACGCTGCCATATCCAAATGGCATTATCTGCTGGTTTTAACTCCCCACCCTTCCTAGGTGGCACCTCCAAGTTATCTCCAGGAGTTCTCTGGCTCCTTGTGGCACTAACTGCTGTTTGGGCTCACTGCTGCCCTCTCTCTTCAAACCCCCCCCAAACCCCCGGTGGCACAGCCAACTGCTTCGGACTGCACCTTAACTCCAGAACAATGCATCCTAAAAGGAGCCTCCCTTCTCCCTGTGGTGTAGGCCTCCTGTCTGCCTTCTATGTCTGCCCTCTTTGTGGAGTTTAACTACATGAGAATGAAGTTGCAAACGATCACAAAGTACAATAAGCAGTTTCCACCAGACCATATTTTGTTTCTAAATCTGTTAATATTTTTCCTAAAACAATTTAACATATAAATATAATCTCTGGTGCAACTTTCCAAAATTTCCTGTGGTACAGCAGGCAACTTAAGAGAAGAGAGCGCAGTCTGGACAGAGCATCCAGTATCTTCTTAAAAAAGGAAGATCAGTTTTCGGAACACTGGTAGGAGCTGCTGTGGAGAAAAGAGCAGTCAGTGAATGTAAAAGAATAAATCAAGGGTCTCAGAAAGGTCATTTAGTCCAATGTCTTTCCTCAAGAAACAAGCCTCTCCTATAGACAGGATTTGATTTTGTACAGGGATACACCTTTGGATTTCCAGTCCAGTCTTGTAATCACTCAGCCATTGCACTTGGCCAAAATGGGGTCTACAAGTAGAGTGCATAAGCCATGTGTGCTATGAAGGCATGTGTGAAGGTAGGGCACTGATAACCAGTTTGACTGGATCCTCTGTTGTGGCCAAGCTCTGCAGAGTTTCGTGCTTAAAGATCAGGAACTAACTACCTCTTTCCTTCTGTACTGCATGTGAGATGGTAGGTAGAGCACCAATGATGGTCTCTGGGTAGGCCAATGAATGCGGATTCAGAAGGCCAAGAGTCATGTCCTGGCTTAGATGCAGACTTCCTGCGTGACCTTGAGTACATCACCTAACTTAGCCAGTGTCACTTTCCCATACATACCTGTATCAACCCCCATTTCTTCTGGTATGGGAGGATCTGTCTTTCCAGGATCTTCAGACAGTGTTTCCAACTGTTCCATGGAAAGAGTAAAAAAAAAATTGAGTCAGGCAGGGTCCTGTTTAATCTGTGACCCTCAGGATTACACAGCCACAGAATGAGGGGCAGGCAGTGGTGGTGGGGCTGTCCTCCCAGCCACAGTTCCTGGTGGTGCCGTGAATGACCAGGTGAAGCCCAAGTCCGTGGATGCAATGAGGTCCCCTTCTGTCCTACATGCTGAAGTCAAGTGTGGAACCATCCTCCATACAGGAGCCTCAGCTAGCCCCTTCCCTGCATCCACTGCTGTCCCTCCTCCTCATGACATCTTCACAGTTTCTCTGTGCTTCCCGCTCCCTTGTGCAATGTGGGTCTCCTTCCTGGCTACTCCTGCTGCACTTGCTAGCCCCTCCTGAAAACACGTCGTAGCTCTACCGCTGCCTTTGCTGTCCACCTGCCATTCCTACCAAAAGAGTTCTGCTAGCTCCTTTCTGCACCTTTCTGTCCAGGGTGGCAGGGCTACAGCGCCTGGGTCAGGAAGTATTGCCCAACCTGCACAATTCTTGGACATGGCACCTGATCAATGAAATGTGCCATATGGCATCGCTCTGAGCAGCACTAAGGGAACAGACTCAAGTTTCCTATTGTATTGAGATCTTTGGATGCACTGGAACATAAATCACTGTCTGTGGCATTAGTGAGCTTAATACTGGATGCTGTATCCAGTTGTCATGTTCACACTAGATGGAAAGCTAATAAACTAAAAGAAGGTTCATAAAAGAAATATGAGAGTGAACTTAGGTCTAGAAACCCTTCCTCACTGTGAGAGACTAGAGAAGCTCTGTCTATGGAACTTAAAAATAGAAAAGGTTTAGCAGCAATTTGATCATGAGCTAAAAGCATCTCTATGTAGGGGAAGTTTCTAATTGGTAAAGTTCTTAAATCTTCCAGCCACAGGAAGGAGAATGCAGTGGTTGGAAGAAGTAACCGCACAGATTCATTCTAGGAATAAGGTGCATGCTATTTTTTGTTACACAACAGATTAACTACAGGAACAACTTACCCAGGGGTCTGATGAATTGTCCCTCACTAGAAGTCCTGAATTGAAGGCTGGGGGTCTTTGTAAAAGACAGGTGGGAGCATCACG